TGTGAATGGGGTATGCTGCATTGACTGGAATACGTTTTACATTCACGATTTGTCAGCCACAGAACAAAATAACCATGTGCGAAAAAAATAGCATGTGCGATGATGTAGGAAAGGTATTTTACAAGATTACAAATTATCTAAAACATGGCCAAACAGAAATTTATCCCAGTTCGCTAGGTTTTTTGTATTTGTTCCTTATCCTATCGGATGCGTTTTCTAGCTAATGATACTATTTCACAATCTACATTGAAAAAATATTTATTTATTGTTTTAACTGCATGTATTTATATTTTGTAAGTAACACGGTGTTTCTTGTTATTTATAATACAGTGCACGCACGAAAATGCATGGTCTGTTTTGACAATCACCGGGTTAGTATGTTGGGGTGTTCATTTATATGAACACCTACTTTTCCTCAAATGATCACCTGTGCACGTGCTAAAACAACACATTACAGGTTGATCAGTAACTTGAACACCCGAGTCAAAACAAAGGGTCCAGTGTGTAAGAAGAAATAACAACCACGGTGACGCCACTTGACCGTTGAAACTATTTCAGGAATAAACCCAATCTGTTTTACAGACCTAATGCGACATCCGTCTTTTATCTCTGTCCAAGATGACTGACCTTTAAAAGTCAGACCGCTATAGTTCTAAGGGTGACGTTACATCACAATGTTTACCAACAAAGCAAGATAGCCACGATACGCCAAAAAAGATTACTTCTGTGGCTTGTTTTTGTTGTTTTAGAACAAACACGAGCAGGTCAATCAGATTAGACGGTAAAAAATGTACTTCTGAACGAATTCAGATTAAACAAACAGAAAAAAAAGTCAAATTGATGGTCACACGTGCGTTGTTTACATCGAACGTAGTAATATGAACTGGTACGGGCAGATTTATATCGTTTTACCCATTTTACGCCTCCGCGTACTATTTTCTGTACCTATTTACGCTAATTATGGAATATTTTTTTATCAAGATATACTTCAAACACCTTTATTTATTTTTCTAATACTAAAAAAAAATGTTTCAGAATTTAATTTGTCGAAAGAAAAAAGTTAATATTTTGTAGTCATTAAATCGCATCGATGTCATCCTTATCAGTGATTGTAGCGGCCAAGCGAATATTCACTGCGGATCAGTGTGGAATAAACCCTTTCTTTAATTTAAAGTCGCTGGGGACATTTTATTTGATTGTGCGCTTACAAACGAGTTCATTCATGTGAACGTCTGCTGGTCGGAAATACTCCAAACACTGTGTTTAACGATTAATTGATTTATAAATCGTATACAAAAGTTTCCTTTAAAGGGAAAATAACACTATTGTTGGCTTGACAGCTCCAGTAAATAAATATTAGCCTTATTCTAAGTATTAGATGTTTAAGTGTCCTACCTGTTGTGTAAAGTATCCATTACATCCTATTTTACTTGTCCAGGGGGTTCGGAAATATTTTTAAATCCAAGTCACATTTGAAAAGGTTTACGTTAGGCTTTTCAAATCATTTAGTTGAATTTTTCCAATTTTTTTAAATTAGGTGTGTTAAGATAAAATTTGTATCATCAATTAATTGGAATACTGTAAAATAATACAATTTGTTGACCAGAATAAAGATTGGGACATATTATTCTGTTTCAACAAGAATGGTACAGAGCCTTTAAATTTACTCAGTACAGACTTTGTAAGGAGTATATATTTTCTAGGGTGCCAATAATACGGATGGACACAACGGGTTACTTTTAAAGTAGCGAAGTCTCCAACCCAATATCACCCAAAATTTCCGACATTGAAAACACGAATTATTTGTCAATTTAAATCAACCGGGAAAAGATGAGCTTCTGATATCCAATATTTTAGACAAAATAAACATTTTACCATTGGTACACGAATCGTGTACCATAATGCGTTTCAGTGCCATTTATAATAAGGGACTCGAAGACCGAGGCTAAACATATTCCACAAGTCGTAACAGGCCCGAGACTGTAGCCTACGGCTGGCTCCGAATCCATTCACCTGATTTGATATATTATTATCTGGAGAGCATGCGCAATAAATACTATCTGTGTAGACTGGAATAACCAGACGCTACAGACTGCGATTCGATTGAGACTTCTGGCGTATTTCGGCGAACATAACTGATAAGAAATTACAGTAAAAATAGAAACGATTGAATGTAAATCAGTTTATATATACATTCATATTACATTATTATACGCGTTGCGACCCATTTGTGTCAATTTCTAGGTCGCAAATATTACATTATTATGTGTTGAGGCCCACTTGTGTCTATTTCTAGGTCCCAAATATTAGCGATTCAGCTTTTTTAAAGATAATATTTTCTCTCGGATAAACTGATCTTATGTGTAATCGAATTTAAGGGAAGATAAATGTTTATAAAAGTTGTCTGAATGATCAGATAGATAGGTTGTTTGTTTAGTCACCAGCAGTCTAACAGATCACAACATAACTACGATCAAAGAAAATAAAGTTTAACGTCATACCTCTCGGCACCATGGCAACTTGATCAAACAAAATAAAGTTTAACGTCATACCTTTCGGCACCATGGCAACTCGGCCAACAACAAAGTTTGTTATGGATCTGGGCCCTGTTTCTCGAAATCTTAACTAAAGACAAAATCCAAATTTTAATAGATACTTCAATTTTGATTGACTAAGCACTAAAATCAGCCTAATATTATCCAATTAAATACTAAAATTTGGATTTTATCTTATTTAAAATTTCGTGAAACAGGCCCCAGGTGTGTTGACAAAACATTAGTTTTTGTCGTCAAAATACGGTTCTCTTACCAACGACAAGGAAACGTGACACCGAGTTTTTACTATAGCGACACCGGGTGGGAATTTCCTCAGCGAGGACGCCCATTTGGACTGGGTTAGATCTAAATAATAAGGCCACATCAACTCATTGGTTAAAACACAGATCCTATTTGGTTTCGTTTTTTTAGTTCAAAATTTCGTTTTATTTGTTTTTACTACTCTTGGATCTGGAAGAGTTTAACTTGTGTTCTGAATGGTGTCAGGAATTAGCCTATGAAACGGTCTGTTACAGCAAGTTCTTGGCGTGTTGTGCAAGGAACTGGGCGTAAACCACTAGAAACGTCAACGCTGACGTCATAGGGTCTAAAGCCGCTCGTACGACCCCTGTAGCGATCTCCCACTACAACTGGTCAGATCTTCATGTAATAGGCACCATCGAAACGAAATATAGATCTGTATTTTAATCAGATTGGTGCGACTAAATTACCTCTCAATATTAATTTATTTCCTCCTGCAAATTAAATTCTAAAAAAATGTTTTGAAGTATTAGAAAAATAAATTTCCACTTATTTGGTCTTTATCTCATTATTGGATCGCGCGCATTCCGACTCATTTTGGAAGTATATCTGGAAAACAAAAATTTCCTAGAATGCATCTGAGTTTTATAATGGTCGGCCATCTTACACAGAGTTAGAAGGCTTTGGCTTTAATTTGGGTTTAACGTCCTACTGTTCTGCTCCGAACTGGGCTAATGAAAACGGGCATACGCCATACACTGTGCTATGAGGGAAATTTTGCCCAGGCAGCGGCACTACGGCCTACTCTTATATCGAATTCCAACTGTCAAGGGATCTTTGATGTGCACGCCAATGTGTACACGGGACCTCGGTTTTCATACCATCCGAACGATATCTTGTGGCACTCTTGTGGTGAAAAACACCACATACCCAAAACACTATCACTATCAAAATTATTTTAAGTCGAAAATTTTGTGGAAAGTGGTACCACACAGGCACATTGGGAGGTGTAACAAGACTTTTTTTTCTAAGTCCAATATCTTGTGGAACTCTTGTGGTGAAAAACACCACAGAATAATATTTTGTAGAATATATTTTCCCCACATAGTCCTTTGGGTTCACCAACACACTTAGTTCGGACCTTAACTCTTCATACTGCAACCCACACTGATCCGCAGTGAATATTCGCTTGGCCGCTACAATCACTGATAAGGATGACATCGATGCGACTTAATGACTACAAAATATTAACTTTTTTCTTTCGACAAATTACATTCTGAAACATTTTTTTTAGTATTAGAAAAATAAATAAAGGTGTTTGAAGTATATCTTGATAAAAAATATTCCATATTTAGCGTAGATAGGTACAGAAAATAGTACGCATAGGCGTAAAACGATATAATTTTGCCCGTACCAGTTCATATTACTACGTTCGATGAAAACAACGCACGTGTGACCATCAATTTGACGTTTTTTTCTGTTTGTTTACTCTGAATTCTTTCAGAAGTACATTTTTTACCGTCTAATCTGATTGACCTGCTCGTGTTTGTTTTAAAACAACAAAAACAAGCCACAGAAGTAATCTTTTTTGGCGTTATCGATGCCATCTTGCTTTGTTGGTAAACATTGTGATGTGACGTCACCCTTAGAACTACAACGGTCTGACCGTTTAAAGGTCAGTCATCTTGGACAGAGATAAAAGACGGATGTCGCATTAGGTCTGTAAAACAGATTGACTGCAACCCTGAGTCACGTCACGGCTCCAAGGTGTCTTCTAATAGTTCAACAAGCCTAGAACTCAGACCTAATGACTGTTCAGGCTGACAAGAACTTACTCTGAAGTCTCAGCATCTGGCCAGGGGTGACAAATAGCGAACCAATGTTAATCGTTGCTCAATGATTGAACTCACTCAGCTCTTATAAAGATATGGCGGCCATCCTGGACAGAGATATATTCCCGATGTTGAAAGTAGATGGACCTCTGTGTGCAGATTGTATACAGACCAGTACCAGTATATTCTACGACTTGAAAATCTCATAGAACAAGATCTACAGAAATCGTTGAACATAAACCTCTTTGTTTTCTGTACCCAAACACTGATAATTTTATGAAAAACATATATACACAGCCTAATTATAAAATATTTAATATTTCTACATTTATATCATACAATTTTCATGGAAATGTTATACATTGTTCAGTGTTATACAATGTTATCATGAAATATTATACATTGTTCAGTGTTATACAATGTTATCATGAAATGTTTATATATATATATATATATATGAGAATGAATCTTGGACAAAATTATTAAACATTATTTACATAATTATATATAAATATATACAAATCAACAATTATATAGCTACTGAAAATTGAAACAGTCTTCTACACATGGTTTAAATAAACATTTTAAGAGAGAGAGAGAGAGAGAGAAATGGGGTTTAACATCCACTCGACACAAACTAAATCATTCAGGGACTAACATATGGTTCAATTTTATTTCAATAATTTGCTTGCGCGTAGGGGGCCTTTAGCAATAGGAGGAAACCAGAGAAAATTCACATGGTTGCACAGCCGACCCTGACCCTGACCCTACTCCTTGTCGCGCGTTAAAACCACTAGACCACCCAATTCAGCATTAGGAAGAAACCCGCGAAAATTTACGAGGTTGGACATCTGACCCTACCCTACGAACTAACGAGTAAGCATTATACCATTCAGTCACCCAACACTCCCATGTGTAGATAGAAGCTATATTAATTCAGCAAACAACTGAAACTAAACTTTACAGAAAATATAAACAGATTGTTACAGAGTTAATTCACACTCTTACATGACATTATTAACAATCATAATTCTTAACATATATATATTTTCTTTTTGTATTTTATTTATATAAACATATAGCACTTGATGAAAAAATACATCTCTAAAGTTTATTTACAAGAACATTCTTAGATTATGTTAGAGCTAAATCTGCCTATTGTAGGTCTTTAATTTGGCTTTAAATGTTATATAAATTTATTATTTAGACATCTATTCACAAGACCAGGACAGCCAAGATTTTAATCTTATACAAGATTTACATGTATAAATTATTATCTAGACATTTAGATTTAAATGGACCAGCACATCAGCAAGATTTAAAAATTAAACATACATTATGCAAGACCTAATTCTGCCTATTGCAGGTCTTTCTTAAGGCCTGAAATGTTATCTAAATTATTAATTAGACATTAATTAACTTATCCAGACCATAATCAACTCTAGATGGCATCGCTAGCCTGCGATCTTTAGTGGATTGTGAACCGATTTACTGCATAACTTAAATGGATAATCGAGACTATGCTGTTTATCGTACTGACTTTAGTAATGATGATCGAGGCTAGGCGGAAATCTTAATCGCTTAGTTCTCGGTTTATAGTGGATCAATCTGAATGAAATTTTCAGTAAATTTCCTTTACATTATCTAGTTTTTAACTATTATAGTGAGAACTGCCAACTCTTTATCGATAATTTAGTCTCAATTGTCAAGTGTCATTGCTATGATAATACACAATCCAGGTTGCATCTTGCTAAAACTTTAAACATTAATAACTTTACACAGAAATAATAGAGAGAGCGAAAGAAATGGGGTTTGACATCCAATCAACACAAACTAGATCATATCGGGACTAACATGGTTCAAATTTATTTCAATAATTCGCTTGTGTGTAGCACTTAGAATAAAGTAATTTAAAGCTGCAATAGGTAAGATTAGATAAAGAGCTGATAGTTCTTGTCACAATAGATGACAAAATAGATACTGAAAAGAGAATATGCTAAAAATTTCAATCATATTACTTCAGCCTGAGTCTAAATATTGATGATACAATTATTGCCTAGTCTTGATTGTCATTACCACCATTGTTACTTTAAATAACTAAGTCTTGATTATCCATTATCACGGTAACCTCATCAACCACATTATTTTAAACTACTTATATCCCATCAATGCAATGGATATAGAGTTGATTATGGTCATGGTTAGTTAATTAATGTCTAATTAATAATTTATATAACAATTAAGGTCCAAATAAAGACCTGTAATAGGAAGATTTTAGCTCATACATGCCTGTTTAGGAATTTACAATAAATTCATTCATCATGATCAGTTTTTTGATTTTATTTTTATTTTTAAGACTATTAAAGAGCGACAAGCGCTTTGTCTAAATCTTACATAATGTATCTTTAAACTATTATAGCAAGAACTGTCAGCTCTTTATCTAAATCTTACATAATACAGATTTAATATAAGTAATATAATTATTAATACAGCTGACATTCATTCAAGAAATAAGAACTTCAACCAGAACAATTTAAAAGAAAAAGACAGGTGATCTAAAGACAATCAGAAACATCATATGAATTGCCTGTCTCTCGGTAAACAAAACGTTAATTGGTTTTCTATTTTGATAAGGGGTATTCCACGGAACATTACGTAGGGTAGAAAACCAGCATTGTACAACTCAATCTATGAAATGTTTCTTCAACAACTGCCGGTAAAACAGAATATTTCTATTTCTAGACCCCGAATTTAATCTATCACTCTATTCTCCATTGAAACAGAATCAACAGACCTTTGCATGAACAGAGTCTTTCCTTTAGTTCTTATGAATAGAAAAAACACTGAACTTTGTAAATAATGTCAACCCTGCAACTAAATCAGAGTTATTTCCCCTGAACAAAATGAAAAATTTACAAATTAAATATCTCTTTACATATTATATGACACAATCTGTGTATAACTATATATGATTTTATTTAAGGTCAACGACAGGCCTTCCATTTCAATCACATGTACCTTTCAGTCAATTTGACCTTAAAATGAAAGTAGATCTAATTCGAATTTCTGTTGATTACACTAGAGACACAATTTAAAATTCTGATCCTCAGGATTAAAAATTCTACCTTCAATTTCTTCAAGAAAAGACTCATTTTTCTTTTTCTTTTTTTAAGGAAAAGGTTGCCATTCTGAAATGTTTTTGGTTTCAAATACTTTAGTTTTGAAATTTTAATCAATAGTGGCGCACAAGTTATTGAGAAGGGTTTTTTTTTGCATTGACCAGGACCCCAAAGAACTAGAAAATAAATTTGTTTGGTCCATGCCAGTAATCTTGATACATAATTCCATTCAGTATGTGAACACGCTAAAAATCTAATTTTTATTACAAACAGGGGCCATAATCCAGAACGTCACGTTCTGATACATACCAATATCTTTGGGATATCAACCTATATTTCGAATAAAAATTGTGACGTCTAGAGTGTTCACAAACAAATGTGACCGGACAGACAATATACATGTACAATTGTGGGATGGGTTCCAGTTTGAATAAAGATGAGCCGATTATTGGGTACAACATCGGTATTGACAAGACGTTAATATTTGCCAATAATTACCAGTGTTTTGACTGATATCTAAATGTTAATAGTCGTGATGTCACAAACAGGGCTTTTAATTACCATTTTCATTTCTTATCTTATAAACAATCTGAAATATGGAAGTTATGACGAAGGGTTTTATTCTGCTAAAATTTTTGTGATTCAAGAAATCGTGGGATTGATATGATTCGAAATACATGTATGTCACCTTTCAAGTATAAAAATATTATCAGGTATCTGATATTGATTTTAGAACTTAAAATTTTAACTGATCTCTAATTTAATGAGATCCTTGATTAACAGTCTGGATTAATACGAACACGCTTGACATGCAGTTTTTCATTTCAGGTCAGGAAACACAATATTAAAATCTCAAATTTATATACAGTAGCCCCAACCTGTACACATTTCTAATTAATTATGCGTGGAGATAGATTAAACATACACCATGACGTCACATTAATAATGATGTCATTGTATTAATCATATTAAACATACATTATACAAGAGCTAAATCTGTCCATTGGAGATCTTTCTTTGGGTCTTTATCTAATCTCCCATAATGTATCTTTAACTATGTTCATTACTTAAGAATTTAAATATTAATCAATTTATGTAAAGTTGGAAACCATAGGGTCAAAGGAACATTTCCGTACATTTAATAGTATTAATGAAAACTGTTTAAATAGAGAAGTTGATATGGGTTCGTCTGACCAGTATTAAGCTGGATGTCAAGATGTGGTTTAATATCAACAATTCACACAGTTATCTTCTCATGATACAGATGGTGCTGGTGTTTTACCTGTATGATGTAATGAGTTCTTTAGGATCCAAGGGTGTTGTAAAACATCACTTAATGGCAATCTCTTCATTGGATCATGGCGTAATAACTACAAAAAAACAAAAAGACGAAATGTTGTAAACAAGCACAATTTTTGTTTGATTCAGAAAAAACTGTATTAAGCAGAAACCAGCGGCTGCCAGGCAGGATACGCCCACAATTTGAAAGTGATAGAGAATAAGCTAAACAAAAAAAGAGATTTTTCGTACAATCAGGGCCCATAATCCATAAAGTTACAGTCTGATGTGCACCAATATTGAATGGAACAGAGATCTTTGAGATATAAGCTATAAATGTGATTTTTTGTACAATCAGGGTCCAAAATCCATGAAATTACAGTCTAATACATGCTAATATTGAAAGGAAGTGGGTCTTTAGCAGAGAAAACCTATATTTCAAGTTTAGTCAAAGTCGGATAGAAATTGTGGATGGACGTACCAGGACGATGACAATATACATGTACATCCACATGAAATTGTGGGCGTATAAAAAGTAAAAAAAAATACATGTATGATGCACCACAATGAAAATAATTTAGTATGTGTTGATTTTTTATAAAATAATAACAATATTACTAACTGTACACGAGATAAGAGTGGCTATGAAGATTTGGTTATACCGAGTGTCAGTGACTAGCTTCGTTCGCATTAAACTCTTCAGAATGATTGGACTCACAAGGCGGGCGTTTTTATTTATACTATTCGGAAATCTCGGTTACTACTTGGCGAGGTTTGCGAATTTGTTACCGGGGTTGGTAGCTTGTTGACGGAAGATATTCTCTCGGCTCAAAATTCCTTATTCTCTCAGCTAGGAGAGATACCGTAGAATCAAACCGACCCAAAGCCGATCTGGTTGATAGGAAGTTGCTCATTCAACAAATACACATAACCGAAGGATGACCGGCCTACAACGGACAATCTCACCTCGGTCCACAAATGACCTACTAGACGCCTCCTACTTCCGAATGGACGTGGTCGGTTATTATAAATATGATTACTTACATTATTAATGAGATCTTGAGCTGGTTTAGATACGTGACTGGGGTAGTGAAACTCCACACGGCTAATTCTACGATATGTTTCTGTGTGTCCGTCTGCTTCAAACGGAGGCTTTCCAACCAGAAACTCGTAGCATAGAATACCCAGACTCCATAAATCCACTTTCTCATTGTGCATCTTTCCCTCCACCATCTCTGGGGGCAGATAATCAAGTGTTCCACATAATGTTGTTCGTCTACAAAATAAACATGCTGTCTAAATTACTTTTACGGTGAAATAAAACGAAATAGGATTAAATGTCATATTTTTCTGTGCAAAAGATCGGCATATGCCATACAGCACGCTAGGAACAAAACCTTTAACCTGGGCATGCATCAACAGCCTACGGCCATGCATCAACAGCCTACGGCCATGCAGCAACACCCAGATAGTTGGCTAGCGTCATGGTGACTAAGACATCCAGTTAGTGAACCAGTGCCTTGTTCACCTTTACACCCAGTTTGAGGAAAATAATAAATAGCCAAGACTAACAAGCATGGGATTAAATTCATGACACTTGAATTGATCTACAGTGTCGATGTAATCTGGCTAATCCCTGAGGTATAAAATGTAATACGATCATACCTGGATGAAGGAGCATGAACTGACCAACCAAAATCAGCTATTTTTAGATCCCCTCGTAGACTAAGTAGAAGGTTCTCTGGTTTAATATCACGATGTATAACACGTTTACTATGACAATACATTAACGCTTCAGCTAACTGACGAATATACTGAAATAAACAAAAATTATACAATCAAGCCAACACCAACTAGAATTTACACAGAAATCGTTTAATGGACATTTTTCAGTTTAACTGATTGCAAACTAAGGGATAATCCACCGCTGATACTAACATATGGTTCAATTGTATTTCAATAATTCCCTTCCCTTTAGTGGTCTTAAGCAGTTGGAGGAAACCGGAGGACACAGAGAAAAAGTACAAGGTTGGAGAGGCGACACTACTCCTTGTCGTGTACAACCGGGGAATCGAAACCACACCAGTTGACTCAATAACAGACCTTATGATACAACATGCACATGCAGGGCTGTCGGTAATTTTTCACAGTTGATTAGCAGCACTGCTAATCAAAAAGTCCAATTTTGCCAAATTTGATTAGCAAATTTAAAAATTGATTAGCAGTTTTTCAGTTTCAACGTAAAACACCTAAATAACAAGATATTACTTTAATTCATAACGAATTGAAATATGATTAGATTCCATTCTGACTATTCTTAGATTTTTTAGCACTGCCACAAGTACTTGTGACAGTTTGTGAATGTGATGTAGACATTTAGTTAGGTCTTACGTCTGAAGCCAATTCTTGACAGTGACTTCCGAAGCCCCACTCATTTTAATTGTAATTTTTTTGTTACGTTAGAAATCTTCGTTAGAAAACAATTTCGTCTGCTTTTTATCGTGTATTATTATTTTTGTTCAATCGGGCGCACCTCGATTAACTAGACACACGCGATATAAACAATAATATTTTACGGGAATTTTTACTTTGATTTATCATTTTACAATACGTTAACATGTGTTTATTTTTTTTATATTTTATTTACAATACGTGGGAGATACACTGGATTTATTTCTTTCAAAATGAATATGATGTAATTACTTGATGTCTCACAACGTGAATGGTACTTTTTGATTCCCTATTTCTGGTTTAATAGTCCCTATTCATAGAGTTATGTCCCTGTGTTATATAGTATTGTGTCTGGGCAGTTCGAGAAGAAAATGTCACACGGAGAATTCAGTTTTGTTTATAAAATTTTATTCAACATTTTATACAAGTTGAAAGTGTTGAGTAAGCCTTCTAGTCTTAAAAATGTGGATTATTCTTGTGTCAATATCCAAAATGACAGGCATATTAATGATTCGCAGTAACTGCGAATCAAAAACGTTAGATTTTAATTTTTGGTTAGCAACGGACAAAATATGTATCGCAAATTGCGCTGCGATACTGGTTGTCGGCAGCCCTGTGCACATGCTAACCATTCGCCCATCCAACCTCCCCTATTCAAATTTGAGGGTAAAATGTGAATCTTACCGTTGCTGATCGGTCTTCTTCAAATTTTGTACATCTCTGTAATTCTTTATATAATTCTCCTTTAGGTGCGTACTCTAGTATTAAATATACCCGAGTCTTATCGTGAAAATACCCAAATAATCGCAAGATGTTGGGATGTCTGAAATATAAACAAACCGCAAATTGACAACTGGACAAGAGAGAGAGAAATGGGGTTTTACATCCACTTGACCACTTAACACAAACTAAGCCATATATAGACTAACGCAAGGTTTAATTTTATTTCAATAATTTGCATGTGTCAAGGTCTTTTAGCAGCGGGAGGAAACCGGAGGACCCAAAGCAAATCCATAAGGCTGGACAGATGACCCAACTGTTTGTCATGTTCAAGTGGGGAATTATCGAAACCATGCCACTTGACGCAATAACACCTTGTGATTGCATGTGCATGAATTAAACCATTAGACCATCCAAACCCCCTAGATAAGTCGAAGCGGTGTGCAATCTGATTAAAACACAGATCCTATTTCGTTTCGTTTTTATTGTTCAAAATTTTGTTTTACTTCTCTTTACTACACTTGGATCTGGAAGAGTTGTTATTTAACTCGTGTTCTGAAAGGTGTCAGGGATAAGCCAATGAAACGGTCTGTTACGGCGAGCTTTAGGTGTGTTTTTCATGGAACTGTGGGTAATCCACTAGTAACATCAATGCTGATTGGTTAATCAAATGTCTGACGTCATAGGGTTATAAGTCAGTGTTTTGACCCTTGACATGACCTATGACTATAACTGTCAGATCTTCATGTACATGTAGTGTAGGCCATCGAAAATATATAAAAAACAAAACGAAATATAGATCTGTATTGTAATCAGATTGTGCTGTGTAGGAGATCAATACAGTTAGTAGAAAAAGATGTTATTACCAAGTCCCTTTATTTTCATATCCAATCTGATTCAAACACAGATCCTATTTCGATTTGTTTTTTTATAGTTCAAAATTTCAGTTTACTTGTCTTTATTACACTAGGACCTTCCACTAAAACCAGCCAGATCTTCATGTAGTAAAGGCCATCAAAAGTATAAAAAAACGAAATGAAATAGACCGGGTAGATCTGTATATTAATCAGATGTTTCCGATTCATACTCTTGGAGATGTATTATTATGATAATGACCACATTTGAACAAGGGCGTATCAATCTGATTAAAATACAGATCTATATTTCGTTTCGTTTTTTTATACTTTCGATGGCCTACACTACATGAAGATCTGACAAGTTATAGCGATAGGTCACGTCAGGGGTCAAAAGACCGACTTATGACGTCAGACATTTGATTAACCGATCAGCATTGATGTTACTAGTGGATTACCCACAGTTCCGTGAAAAACACGCCTAAAGCTCGCCGTAACATTGGCTTAACCCTGACACCATTCAGAACACGAGTTAAATAACAAGTCTTCCAGATCCAAGTGTAGTAAAGACAAGTAAAACGAAACGAAATAGGATCTGTGTTTTAACCAGATTGAAGGCCGTATAAAATTAACATGTGAGAAAGTTTACCGTAAATGAGATTGTATTTCTATCTCTCGACGCAACTGATGTTCAACACTTGATTTCTGTAGTTGTGACTTAAACAAAACCTGCAATAAAAAACAATAATTACATTTAGTTGCCATTTATTACTAGTTGCCATTTATTATTATTTAGACATTTATTAACATGACAAGCCTATAATCAACTATTTAGACCATCGGATGGCAGAGATTTGAACAGATTAAAACATGCTTGCTATTTAATTTAAAAATGGCGAATCAAGGCTAAATCTCGAATAACAAGTACTTGTATAACAATAATAAACAAACTATGCCAGATCTGGTCAAAACTTCTGGGATAACTTCGCTCAGAATAAAGTAATCAGAATGAAATTTTCAATATATTCATTTTGCATTATCTATTTTTGACCTATTATAGCAAGTGCCATACTCAGTGGATCAGCCCCTCTTTTCACTGCTCGCTAGCATCACATTCTGAGCCAGCGTTGTTCTACTGAAACAAAACAACAAACCTACCTTCAAGGCGACGATATATTTACTTTTCTTTTCTCTTGCTAAATAAACATTTCCAAACTTTCCTTTACCTAATGGCTTCCCAATATCAAAATCGTCTAAAGACCATTTTGTCCTGAAGAAAAAAAAAGAGAAGACTATAAGAGAGAGAAATAGGGTTTAACGTCCACTCGACACAAACTAGGTCAACTCATCACAAACTAGGACTAACACAAGGTTCAATTTATTTTAATAATTCACTTGCGAGTACACGTAGGGGTCTTTAGCAGTGGGAGGAAATCAGAGTAGCCGGAGAAAACCCATGAGGCTGGACAGGTGACCCTACTCCTTGTCAGCTACAACCGGGGAAGCGAAACCACGCCAGTTGACTCAATGATAGACCTTATGATAAACCTGCACGCGTTAACCATTCGGCCACCCAACCCCCATAGAAGACTATAAGCTTATGTACATGTACATTTTGACCATTTCATTTAAAATGGTTAGTGATCGGATAGTGGCTATTAATAAAGTCAATATTCATGATAGGCCTACATGTAGGCTACCGTACATCACTATTCATTGGCAAAGGGAGAAATGGGGTTTAACATTCACTTGACACAAACCAGGTAATTTCGGGTCAAATATTACATGTATGCTCCAATTTTATTTCAATATTAGATTGCATGTAGGGGTCTTTAGCAGGTAAAAAGCTGTGGACACACGACCCTACTCCTGGTCATGTAGGGGTCTTTAGCAGGTGGAAACCAGTATACACACAACCCTACTCCTGGTCAGATATGGATATACAGCAGGTGGAAACTGGTAGACATGGGACCCTACTCCGGGTCATGTAGGGGTCTTAAGCAGGTGGAAACCAGTATACACACAACCCTACTCCTGGTCAGATATGGGTATACAGCAGGTGGAAACTTGTAGACACGGGACCCTACTCCGGGTCATGTAGGGGTATACAGCAGGTGGAAACCGGTAGATACGGGACCCTACTCCTGGTCATGTAGGGGTATACAGCAGGTGGAAACAGTGGACACGGGACCCTACTCCTGGTCATGTAGGGGTATACAGCAGGTGGAAACCAGGGGTATACGCCTTGTCATGCACAAGCTGTATATCGAAACCAAAGTGCGCATCCTACCCGTTTCAGTCACCTGGTCTCACCTACATAACATTGGTTGGATTTGTGTGTTGTATTAACACATGTATTTACCCTCTAGAATTGTGTGGGTGTAAGAAAATTGATATTATAATGTAATGAAAATATACCTTAAGCCTTCTGACGAATTATCTCCCATATTTTCAGTATCATCACTTCGATCAGCTATAGGTTTCCTCACGGCATCATGTCCATGTTGGGATGTATTGACTGGTTTTAATACCCGTTTTGCTTCCATGGTTACCACACCTGTGTCAAGCTGTAAACCAAACAAAGTATGTTATACCTAGAGTTATTTTATATCGTACACCTCATGAGTCATTTATTTGTCAGCGGTCTTCTTAAGCGGTGGACACACTACGAATCTATCGGCGTCGAAATTCGCCTAGTGTGTCCACTGTCATTCGCCCGAATCAAACAGGTTTGATATATTCGGCCGAATTATATTCGCCTGGTGTGTCCGCTTCGCTGAAGCATTCGGCCGAATATAGAATTCATTAGCCAATCACCACTCATATCGAGAAGTCACGTGATAGATTGAAGACATAGACGCCGCCATGTTTAATCATGTGACATGAAAGGAGATGCAATCGACAGGTTGAATCGGGCAAAGCATTCGGCTAGTGTGTCCACCCATTTGGTCGAATAAAATTCGGCGCCGATTCGGCTAATGTGTCCACTGCTTAAGATAATGTACACAACACTACTGGCACCTGGTAATTGTCTCTGACATTTTCTCAGCTAAACTTTTAAAGGAGATAAATCACCATTCTTTGGCACCTAGAAATGGACACAATTGGGTTGCAATGCATATAATGTAATATGAATGTATATATTATAAACTGATTTACATTCAATCGTTTCTGTAATTTTTAATCAGATATGTTTGACGAAATAGGCGAAAAGTCTGAATTGAATGGCAGTCTTTGACGTCTGGTTGTTCCAGTCTACGACTACACCCGTACTGCCGTAGTACTCACCCAGATGGGATATGCATATATAGCCCCATTCATCGAGTCGCTTCATACGACTGACACTAGAAAGCATTTCGACACGATTCATGTGCCAAAATATTCATTGTCTTAAAGATACATTATGGGAGATTAGATAAAGAGCTGGCAGTTCTCGCTATAATAATAGTTAAAAAATAGATAGTGTAAAGGTAATTTGCTAAAAATTTCAGTCAAATTGATCCACTATGAGCCGAGAAAGAAGCAGGTGAAATTTTTGCATAGTCTCGATCATCATTACTAAAATCATTAATATAAACAGCATAGTCTCGATTAGCCACTTTTTTTGATTTAATTATCAATGGCCGTTAGCGGCATATAGGAATCTAATCCAGCCAACATCGAAGGCTAGCCTTGACATCAAGAGTTTATTATAGTCTGGATAAGTTAATTAATGTCTAATTGATAATTTAGATAACATTTCAGGCCTAAAGAAAGACTTGTAATAAGCAGATTCTTAAATTAGTGTATTGCTCTGCCCTACAGATATCTGGAATAAATGGTGGTTGTCAAGACTATTTTCATGTAGAATTTACCAATCCAAAAACAAACAAGATTTGTTTAATATGATCCGCTATTATGAAACCCACATCTGAGCAGACCAGAGGTCACAGTTTCGTGGCCTGTGCTTAGCCAATATTTCAAATTCAATGTTACTGTGAACGAAAATTCTTGCTGTACCCGGTACTTCAATTACCGTAACCAGGGTAGGGTAAATATACTTTTTTCTTCACTACAAGCATTTCTTGAGGCGAAATTTAACGCTGAATTCGAATCTGTTGAAATTTTCTACCTAATGTGTGTCTTTCGGTCAGTACAGCATCCATTTTCCAAAATGGCGGTCAAAATATGATTTTGTGTCGTTATACTCATAAACGTATGTGAGATATGGCATGTAATATATCTTTTCTATGGTTTTCTGGGTCACAGAGAACGATGCTGTGTTCAAAAATGCACTTAAAAGCGCCATAGTGGAATAATAATCAATTATTAGTGTAAAAATCTGAAATTCTTCTCACATTATAGCCACTGAATCAATAGAGAAGCACAAAAGCAGTAATAACATGTATTAAGGAATGTAAGAAACAGATTGAATGAGAATGAGCATGTTTTCATACACTGATTCTGAAGGGAGTAAAACAAACTTCTAAGAGTAAACAGATCATTCAAGAACAGATTTCAATAAGGCATCGGCATCATTTTTCAACTCATTTCTGGTTTATGGCATTCAGTATAGAAATTTTTAGCTCATCCACTGAAAATCGTTCGTTCTTAAATTTACCGCGAGGAAGTTTAACTTGTTGCCTCTGAAGGATGACGGGGCGATGGTGGTGCGCAAAAAGCTTATTTGTAAGAGTAATTGTTTTTCGCTGTATTCGTCAAGTAAGTTTATATCCATCTCAGTTACTGGACCAACATGTTCTTTACATTTTCCTAATATTTCTAGACTCAGGTTTTTTTTTTCAAACCAACCATTTTGGACTGTTCAACTGTCGCTATAATGTCTTTTTCCAACTTTTCTCACCGGCTTTACTTCATCAGAGGTTTTCACCCACTTCCATTTCTGTTTTTTCCCTTCTTTCATCATCTCAATGAAGTCTGAATAAAAAAGATGGGCATTCCCAATTACAATAAGCTTATTCTTCTGTGATAGAGCCTGTACTGTTCCTCCACATACATTTAATCGATTATCCAGCTTCGCAAATTTGTTTTCTATGTGGGTGAAACTTCTGATGAAGTGAAGCCGGTGAGAAAAATTGGAGAGAAACTTTCTAGCGACAGTTAAAAAGTCCAAAACGCTTGGTTTGAAGATGGTGTTCCAGTAAATGAGATGGATATAAACTGACATCCTTCAGAGGCAACGAGTTAAACTTTCTGGTGGTAAATTTAAGAACGAACGATTTTCAGTGGATGAGCTAAAAGCCTCTATTTGGGATGCTACAAAACCAGAAATGAGTTGAAAAATGATGCTGATACATTATTGAAATCTGTTCTTGGATGATCTGTTTACTCTTAGAAGTTTGTTTTACTCCCTTCAGTGTATGAAAACATGCTCATTCTCAATCAATCTGTTTCTTACATCCCTTAATACATGTTATTACTGCTTTTGTGCTTCTCTATTGCTTCGGTGTCTGTAAATGCGAGAAGAATTTCTGATTTTTACACTGATACTTGATTATTTTTTCACTATGGTGCTTTTAACTCCTTTTTTGAACACGGCATCATACTCCACGACCCAGAAAATCATTGAAAAGACATATTATACACTAATATCTCATATAATTTTAGGAGTATAACGGCAAAAAGTCATATTTTGGCCGCCATTTTGGAAAATGGGGGCTGTACTGACCGACAGACACACATTAGGTCGAAAATTTCAACGGATTCGAATTCAGCATCGAATTTTGCCCTAAGAAACACTGGTAGTGTCAGTTTTTTTATGAAAAATTGTCGTATTTACCTTACCCTACCGTAACAAATTGTTTATGCTTGTTAAATACAAAAACTTTAGTGGTATCAATATTGACAGTTTTGTCCGTTAATTGAAGGACAGCCAAAATTTTTGTTTACAGTAACATTCCATTCCTAGTCTAGATAATTGTGATATGAGCTAAGCAAGCATAGGCCACAAACCTGTGAACTTCAGTCGGCGCAGACCTAAGTTTCATCATGGCAGATCAATTCAAACGAATCTTGATTGTGTGCTTTTGTATAGCACAATTCTACATGAAATTAAAGTGTTGTATTACAAATTTGTGTCGGATGTGGCATAAAATGATTCCTTTTGGTGAACAAAGAAGAATCACAGTGAAAAATAGACGGTAAGGATTCCAAAATAGCCTTAGTAGAAATGAGGTTGGGGGGAAAAAGTCGTAAAAAATTTTCATATTATATGAATAGACCAAAGGGAGAGACAGTAACGGATACATGTAGCTCGGCCAGAGCCTATAAGAATCTGTTTAAAGTAACATGCAGCCAGGACAATTGTAACCAGACTTACTTTACATACAGAGCCAGTAGAATACCAGTAACTTTGAGTAACACTAACAGTACTTTCAACTACTTTGGACGTTTTTTTTTTTCTTTTTAGGAAAAATTGATGATCAAATTCATCATGAATACATTACAAACTCCCTTTTTTTATTTAGGGTTTGGCCGGATAAGTAAGACAGAACAACAGAACGCCCTAAAATTAAAAACCTCATCATTGGATGCCACTCCCCAGTTAAGTTTTAAATTTACTAACAGTGGGCTGAGTGGCTACACACCAGGCTGTAGTACTAGTAGCTTAGAATTACATGTAGATCCAAGTTGCTAGTTCTTTGAAATTTGAACAATTCTCGATAAGGCCTAGTCTAGTAGTAGGCATATCAATATCAAATAAAGGCAATTTAATTTGTTTTCAATTAGCTTACTGACAAAAAAGCTTTTTAAAAATGCATGCAAGTGACTAGATTTTGGACTAGGAATTGGAATGGAGTCTAAAAAAGAAAACACCAATTCATTCAAAAAGGTTTCATGATCATGTAACCCGCAAACTTCAACTTGTAGACTGCAATAAACTCCACCTATAACCATTTGATAACAATTGGAGTTGTAAAATAAAGAAAAAATAACTCAGATTTTTCAATACCTGAAAATAACCGGGAATATTTTCTCGTTGTTGTCAACACTGTCAAATAATGGCGACCAATTCAAATCCGTAACGATTTCGTGTCGAAGCAAATTATTGGACGGTTTCCTAAAAAAAGTCACGTGCTTTATATTTTAAAATCAAGAGCTACGGAAGGGGAGCAACTCCACTTAAAAGTGGAGTTACGCCCCCTTGAGCGCACTGATTTCGTACGAAGCGGCGTGCAACTCTTTGACATAATCTTTCGAGGTATGTTCAATAAAACAAATACTCGTCCATTCGCTGTCCGTAATCGTTTTACATTTCTTTATTGTGAAGGCCGTGGTCTTGGGATGCAGTGGCAATCACAGTTGAATCACTACTGGTATTAAATCTTGAAATGATAAAGAAAATAATCACGCTACGTATAGGCTATATATATTAATATTAGCCTAATCCCGAGAGTTTGACACTTAAGGGGTGAGGCTATCCGAAAAACGCTTTCTGAAATTCTAGAGCTAGTGAATTGGAGATGGCACAAGTAGTTAGGAAATGTAATAAACAAGGGAAAACTAACATTAAAAATAATAATAAAAAAAAAAGGTGTTGCCAGGATAAAACATTTTTGTGGAAAAAGTATTTAAAAAATAGGTACACCATATCTCTGACACTAATAAAGATAAATGTCTCATTTTCGGACTGCTTATTCTTTAATGATGACCCCCAAAACAGACAGAGAGTTTTTCTCAATAATTTTTATAGTTTCTTGGAAAATGATGTTCAAAACATTTGCTACACCACAATATTTTGTCTTTGGAGAAATATTTTGATAACTTTTGAAATATTAATGATAATTCAAATTGCTTTGTCTGATTCTGTGGTAGATATTAGTTTATATACCCTGCAAATATGGCCAAGATATCTTAATTAGTTACAGAGATATAGTGTACCTACGTTTTTCATAATTTTCTCCCCCCAAATGTGTAACCCTGGCAACAACTTTTTTTAATGCTAGTTTTCCCCTGTTTATTACATTTCCTAACTACTTGTATGTACTATTTTCAATTCAATAGCTTAAACATTTTAGAATAAAAATTTTCGGATAGCCTCCCCCCTTAAGTTAACACTTTCGAATGCTGTTGTGACGACTGACAGCCCGCAGTCGGAAATGTCATAGATGGTGATGCGGGCTATTTTCACAGAAACGTATAAATAATGGTAAAGATAAATTTTGAAAAGTAATGATGAATTTGTAAGGTAATTTTCACCGTATTCTACATGGATATTATATAAACCAAGAGCAAGTAGCCTATATGCAATAGCCACGCAGGACTCTTATTGTCTATCCCGATACAAGAAGTCTTTTCCGTTATTATTATTATGCTTTGAGTGTCTGCACTCTGAATGAAAACTTCTCCACCAACCGCAGTGTTTTATGTCTTGTACGAGAGAGAGAGAGAGAGAGAGAGAGATGGGGTTTAACGACCATTCGTATGAGGCAGAGGAGCTGGGGTGTAGCCCCCTCCCCCACCTCTCCCGCCCTTAATCGGTAAACCGTCCGTTTTTCGGCCAGTTTATTTCCATTTTTCGGGCACAAACATCAGAGAATGGGGAACATTAAGGTGGGTTTTTTTTGGTATTGTAAATCTATATTGTTGTAAATCTATATTGAGATTGGCCCCCATATCCCCATGCATCCACTCAACACAAACCAGCTAATTTCGGATCTTTAGCAGTGAGGGGAAACCAGAGGACCCGAAGAATGCACGAGGTTGGCCAGGCGACCCTACTCCTTGGCACGTACAACTGGGGAATCGAAATTTTGCACAGACAGTGACGTTACGGCATATTCTTATATTTATATCGAATTCCAACTTCCAAGGGATCGTTTACGTGTGCGCCAATGTATACACGGGACCTCGATGTTTCGTCCCACCGAACGTATAGGCTATCCCTAGATAACAAACCTTATCTATCAACCCTCCATGTTTCGAGATAAGAAATGGTGCTATTAACTTCAACGTAGCACATTTGTAAACAAAATTGACAATATTTTTAATCAAAACAATGACTGATATTGTTATTTATAATATTTCTGCCACACCCAACTACAATTAAGCATATAATCCTGCCTTAGGCTCGTGAAATATTTTATTATTGTTATTTAGATTTACAGATAATGATATTTTGATAGTGTGTCGCTCTTATGATGTAAATCACGTATGCGATGATTATGATGCTCCTTAGGGTGGGCCAAATCTATTTGTTAAGGTCAGCTCAATTTTTTTCTAGGTCGCCGGCATGTACATGTAAACTAGGTTAGTGCACGTGATTGTTTGCGAGATTGTAGGTTAGGGTAAGGGTAAGCATTGAGGCTAGGTCCAGGGTTAGGGTAGGGATTAGCGCTAGCCCTTTTTAAATCTTGTGACCTTTGACGAAAAATTGAGCTGGCCTTATCATTTAGCACTAACCCCTGAGGTTATAAACCACGAGTTAATCGGCTACGTAAACGTTTTACCTGTTTCGTGTTATATCGTGGTATTTACGCATGCTCATAAGGAACAGAGACAGGGGACCAGGGACACCATAAAATGAAAAACCAGTAAGTATAGATATATTATTTTCAGTATTCATTCTTCATAGGCCTCATGTAATATCGTCTGAGAGGCCTGGTGACTCGGTTCACTATACAAGGAGGGCTCGAATTCGCCCAATGTTGTCCGAGAAAGGTCCTTGTTATTTTCTGAAGTGGTTTCTCCTTGTCAGCGGTGCAGGACGGAGGGAGGGGGGGCTGACAAGGAACAGAAAACTGAGGCACCGTGTATAAATTTGCATGCACGTAAAAGATCCCCTGGCAGATGGAATTCGATATAAGAGTAGGCCATAGTGCCACTGCTCGGGCAAAATTTCCCTCATAACACACTGTGTGGCGTAGGCTATGCCCGTCTTCATTAGCCCAGCTGGAGCAGAACAGTGGGACGTTAAACCCCATTTCATTTCGTTTCATTTACTTAGCGCCCCCCTCCCCATCGTTTTCTTTTGTGTATGTGGTAAGAACTAATTGAAATGATAAATCAATCTGTTATTAACCACATCTACATACCAAACTTAGGCTGCCTGTCTACAGTTAGCTCCGCTTGAAAACAGACACTAAGCTAGTTGACCGACATTTTAAGTCCTAAATCGACGAATTTAGTCGAAAACACTAAGTAAAGTTCGAGAATTTTAAACGTATTTATTCTGCTTCCATTTAATGGAATTAAATAAGTTTATTTAGTCTTTGTGTGAAAGCCAGATGTGAAACGGAGTAGAAGAGCAGTAGAAAACTATATACTGATTTTAGGATATGACGGCCATTCAGGACAGAGATTTATTCTCGATGTATGAAGTAGATGACCTCTGTGTGCAGATTGCAACATCTATTCTAAGGTCTTTGTCATCATATCATCATTTTTAATGTCGTAGAGTCTTGGTGCTTATTACTTATCTAGCATGATTCCAGGGAAAGGTTCTGGAAAATAATTCCGATTCTGCCTGTTTGTAAATATCGAAAGTTCAATATTGGAATTTGTCTACAGACGACCACGTCAGACCGACATTAAAGACCCGGAAAACGAGGAAAATAAGTCTGTGCCCTGGATTTTGACTTTAAAAAATAGGGTCGTTTGGAGAACCGTAAACACGGGTTTGTTTGCAGGTTTTTTTGTTTGGCTAACCGGATATTTGTCTTTTTTTCTGATGTCAAACTTTGAAAAGAAAAGCCGGATATTATTTTTTTTTTTCTTCTTATTTCTCACTATGAAAAGTAAAACTGGTTTGTGGCTAGGTTATAATGTTGAAATGAATCTTAACTGTCCTCACTATGAAAAATGGAGGGGCGGGGGGGTGGAGGGAGAATGACATTTTGATTTATATAATGTACGTGAACAAACTTGAGTATTAATCTAAATAGCATTTGAATAGATAAACTACAAGTACGCCGAATATTAAACATAATATATTATTTCAATGTTGTTATTATCAACCCTTGTAGACATTTATTCATATGGCAAGCCTATACTTAACCCCACATTTTGTCAAATAGTCAAACACCCTCGAACGTGGTTTCCCCTTGTCACTGGCTCACGGGGGGCCTGACAAGTACAGCTGTCTAGTCGTTCGGAAGGGAAGAAAAACCGAGGTCCCGTGTATACATTGGCATGCACGTAAAAGATCCCTTGGCAGTTGGAATTCGATATAAGAGTAGACCATAGAGCCACTGCCCGGGCACAATTTCCCCTCATACCACTGTATGGCGTATGCCCCTCCCCATTAGCCCAATCGAATCAGAACAGTAGGACGCTAAACCCCATTTCATTTCATTTTTTCAAACACCTCACTCAGAAAATAATAATTTCTATGATATTTTCAAGAATATATTCATGTTTCATTATCTTTTTTTGAACTATCCTTGCAAGGACAATTAGCTCTTTATCTAAATCTTACATAGTGCATCTTTAAAGTAGCAATGAGTCTACATAGTGCATCTTTAAAGAGCGTCGTATAGCTCTATTTGTTGGAGCCTTAAAATAGACGTAAATGGATAAAAAAGCGATACAGAGAAATGGCCTTTAACGTCCACTCGACACAAACTAGGTCATCTCAGGACTAACTTGTGGTTTAATTTTATTTCAATAATTCGCTAGCGCGTAGGAGTCTTTAGCAGTGGGGGGGGGGGAACCGGGGGACCCGGAGAAAACTCACGAGGTTAGACAGGCGAGGAATCGAAACCACGCCACTTAACTCAATGACAGACCTTATGATGCATCGCGCAAGCGCTAACCATTCGGCCATCCACCCCTCCACCCCCGGTTCTAAAAGCACATGTAAATGTAATATGAATGTATATAAAGTGATTTTTATTGAAATTGTCGACACTTATTCTTACCAATACGTGAACAGTTTACCTCCTTTAAATCTCACCCACTTGGTTTAGTTGCAGCCATAGAGTATGCTTACTCCTCCAGGGACACCCGATACTACTATATTGTTAATTATTCTTAGTACAATAACAGCATCAATGACCAATTGTATTTTAAAATATTTGCCAGGGATCTGTATGTTTGGTGTGCTTCCCGATAACCGGAAACAATCCTCTGGAAGGAAAGAATTAACGGATTAACGGATTACAGAGGATATATAAAGATGAATCGCATTCTACTCAAATTCATTGGACTGGTGATTGCCAGTATTTCGACCGTGTTCTTAATAATTTATGTCTTTAAAGTAAAATCGCCGTCATCATCATCAGCATCATCATCGCCGTCTCTACTCGAACTCCAAGATGCAGCTAGGAGAAACTACAAAGCTTTAATCCAACCTGGTAAGTGTCCCACAGAATTGGGGGTTTATTTGACAGAGGGGATTGTCAACGCACGTGCACGTTCATATCAAAACATTCCAATTATTATCCATGATTAAAATGAGCTAAAGTAGAAGTTTGGAATGCTCACGAGCTAGTCCAATGCCACCCTCTCCACTCTCTCGTTTACACCCACCCCACCCATCCTGCACTGTGTTGTAACGCTTGTCGTAAAGGGAGTTGGGCTGAGGTGTACATAACAGCTCAATCATCTCAATGGCTTGATCCAGGGTGACTCCCGGTTGTACGTGACAAGGAGTAGGGTCGCCTGTCCAACCTCGTGGGTTTTCTTCGGGTCCTCATGTTTCCTCCCACTGCTGAAGACCCCTACGCCCAAGCAAATTATTGAAATAAAATTAAACCATATGTTAGTCTCGAAATGACCTAGTTTGTGTCGAGTGGACGTTAAACCCTATTTCTCTATCTCTCTCTAGGGTGACTCAACGAATAACGCGCGGAATCATTGGTTAGCAGGTCTCCGGTTCGATCAGGGGAATTTTCCATCCAGTCTGGTTTTTCCGACTGATTAAGAAACACCGGATAGTCGTTTGGATGGGACTAAAAACCGAGGTCCGGCAAAATATGTCGTATACTCGCCTCCAATATCACGGTTTGTGTTGAAATTAAGGAGAACGTTACCCCCCGCCTCCATTACATTAAAGATGCCTATTGCAGGTCTTTCTTTAGGCCTTAAAGGGACAATAACACTCTTGCTGGCTTGACAGCCCCAGAAAATAAAAAATAGCCTTATTCTAAGTACTAGATGTGTTAGTGTCCTACCTGTTGTGTAAATTATCCATTAAATCCTATTTTACTTGGCCAGAGGGTTCAAAAATATTTTTTAATACAAGTCACATTTGAAAAGCTTTACGTCAGGCTTTTCAAATCATTTAGTTGAATTTTTCCAATTTTTTAAATTAGGTGTGTTAAGATGAAATTTGTATCATGAATTAATTGGAATATTGTAAACTAGTACAATTTGTTGACCAGAATAAAGATTGGGACATATTATTCAGTTACAACAAGAGTGGTATTGAGCCTTTAAACGAAATATAAACTATTAGACATTTATTAACACGACAAGACCGCAATAAACTCTCTGGGCCATCGGACGGATACGATTTTTCAAAAATTAAAACAGTTTGGTCATTTAATGATTTAATTTAAAAATAGAGAAACGAGGCTAAGTCTCCAATATACCAGTACAATGGCTACAATTATAAACAATTAAAGATACATTATGGGAGATTCGATAACGAGTTGGCAGTTCCCACTATAAAAATTAAAAACTAGATAACGTAAAGGCAATTTGCTGAAAATTTCATTCAAATTGATCCACTATGAACCGAGAACTAAGCGAATGAAATTTCTGCCTAGCCTCGGTCATCATTACTAAAGTCAGTACGATAAACAGCATAGTCTCGATTATCCATTTAATCGTTTAATCGAGAAGGAAAGTTATGCAGTAAATCGGCTCACAATCCACTTAAGATCGCAGGCTAGCGATGCCATCTAGAGTTGATTATGTTCTGGATAAGTTAATTAATGTCTAATTAATAATTTAGATAACATTTCAGGCCTAAAGAAAGACCTGCAATAGACAGATTTAGCTCTTGCATAATGTATGTTTAATGCACACATCTTATCAAAACTTCGCCTAGAATAAAGTAATTTAAATGAAACTTTCAATATATTTAATTTGCCTGATCTACTTTTGTATTATGACAATGACTGCCAACTCATTAAACAAGTTTATACACGATAATATTACATACACAGCCTGTGGTATTCGTCTACTTTCTTTGTTAATTTGAAAGACTCAATATGAAGATGATTTTGTTACGCGGAGCAATAAGATATCTAGTCTAGTTCGAGTTTCTTCCTACAACACTTCAGTTTATATCCGGATGACGGAAATGCACTGTCTAGCCCCTATGGCTAAGTGGGTAAGACGCTGGCTCGCTAGCCTGGAGGTCGGGTGTTCGATCCCTGCATTGGCCGAGAAAGTTCATCCAGATTTTCCGGCGTGGCTTCCCCTTGTCAGTGATGCAGGACGGAGGGCCTGACAAGGACAGCTGTCTAGTCGTTCGGATGGGACGAAAAACCGAGGTCCCGTGTACATATTGGCTGCTCGGGCAAAATTTCCCTCATAGCACACTGTATGGCGTATGCCCGTCTTCATTAGCCTAGTTTAGGAGCAGAACAGTAGGACGTTAAACCCCATTTCATTTCATTTACAAAGTTAATAATATGCACAAAAACGCGGTTTTCCTTGACCCCCCCCCCCCCCGACTCCGCGGAATTATATTCATATAATTAAATGTCTAATACTTTCATGTATATAATAATATGGTCACAAATCACGAAATGGGATACGTGACTGAAAGATTGTTTTAAAAAAAAAATTTAATTAAAAAGAAACAAAAAATAGCGAGATCAAATTGGAGTCTGATATTCAGAAAGCAAATTGATTTATAAGATAGGAATATGTTATTTATATATCATAGAATTTGTAAGACGGAAGTTAAAGGGACATTATAGGCCGTTAAACCCCATTTCATTTAATTTCAGATATTTGCATATTATAAATAATAATAATTTTTAAAATACAGATGTGACGTCATCCTTTGATGTAGGCGTTTACGGGCAATGTGCCAAGCGTACATTATTTATACTAGTTGAAATTTTGGACCCGGGAGACGTATTCCATTGCAAAGCACCTGCGAGTGTCTGTATTTTAAGTTGTTTAATGGTTTCGAGCTTAAGACATTTCGTAATATTTTGAAACAACACTTAGATCTGATGTCCCTCGTGTTGTTTTAATATATTACTTAATGTCTCGCTCTCGAACATTAAACCACACATAAAACATTTAAAACCGACAGAAAGACCCGCAATAGGCAGATTTAGCTCGTACATAATGTAGCTTTGAACAAAATTGTTTACTTTCTATATTTCAGGTGTACAGGGGCCGTATAAAAAACCTAAAATATTATGTTGGGTACTGACAGCGCCTAAATATCTGGATACTCGTGCCAAGGCTGTGAAAACTACCTGGGGTAAAAGATGTGACAAAACTCTTTTCTTCAGTAGTACAGCCAACGCTTCCTTTCCTACGATTGGTCTGAATGTTTCCGAAGGCCGAGACGCACTGCCCAATAAAACAATCGGAGCTTTCACTTACTGTTATGAAAAATACGGGCAGGATTTTGATTGGTTCATGAAAGCTGATGACGACACTTACGTCATTGTGGAAAATTTACGTAAATTCGTTTCGAATTATTCTTCATTGGACCCTATTTATTTCGGCCATAATTTCTATAAATATTTTAAACAGGGGTATATGAGTGGTGGTGCGGGATATGTATTAAGTAAGGAGGCGTTAAGGGTGTTTGTAACTAAGGGCGTGGCTAAAACTAAGCCTATGTGTAAGATACAAGATATAAAAAACGAAGATATTTTGGTGGGTGCTTGTTTGGATAAACTGGATGTTAAAGCTATAGACACGGTTGATGAGTACCAAAGAGAACGATTCTTACCACTGGATCTTATCGAATATGCTGTAACAGGATTTCCGTTTTGGTTGCCGGAATATTCAAAGTTTAAACCCAAACTCGTAAGTATCTGTAGGTCGAATGTTTGACAAGGAGTAGGGTCGCCTGTCCAACCTCGTGGGGTTTCCCCGAATCCTCCGGTTTCCTCCCACTGCTAAAGACCCTTAAGCGCAAGCGAATTATTAAAATAAAATTGAACCATATGTTAGTCCCGAAATAACCTGGTTTGTGTCGAGTGGACATTACCCCTCCCCCAACCCCTCTCTCCCTCTCATCCCTTATAATCATCTACTTAAGATCCCATCCACGAGAAGTTTTGACATAAAGTTGTTCATCGCCATAATATTAATTGTGACTCCATATTAAATTACATCATTAAATGACGATCATATTTCAGCCCGTTCACATCTGCGGCATCCGATGCTCTAGAGGGTTGATTATAGCTAGGCTTGTCATGTAAATAAATGAATAATAATTTATTTGAAGCCAAAATAACAATCTGATTAAAACACAGATCCAATTTCGTTTCGTCTTATAGTTCAAAATTTCGATTTTACTTGTCTTTACTACACTTGGATCTGGAAGTGTTGTTATTTAACTTGTGTTCTGCTTTAAATAGTCTGTCTAATCGAACGTTTGACCTTTTTTGCGCGGAACTGTGGGTAGACATTAGCGGCAATAGAAATCAAAACAAAGCAAAAGTAGATAAAAAAAAAACAAACATGGCGGTCGCTAATTGGTTGATCGAATGACTGACGTAATCGGCTCAAATGTCGCTTGCTTGGTACCTGACGTCATAGAACGTGAACGCCCACTATAACTTGTTAGATCTACATGTAGTGTAGGCCATAGAAAGTATAAAAAACGAAACGAAATATAGATCTATATTTTAATTAGATTGCCAAAATAAAGAATCTACAATAGGAAGACATAGCTCTTACATAATGCATCTTTAAATATGATATCTTCAACTAATAGAGTGATCTTTATAATAGTGTTCTCGTGGAATTATTAGTTTAATTTTGTTTAATAATCAACAGTAGAGCGTATAATAATCAACATGAAAGGTTGATTCATTCTCTCGGTAGATATGTTCTAAACAATGGCACCAGACAATACCTAAATAGAAACACCCTTGTGTCATGTTATGATTTATATATTATATTAAAAATAAAAAAACAAAAACTGCTGAAAGATATTATCATAAACAGGATACAGACAACAGGATACAGACAATGACATTTTTTATTCAAATAAACATGGATTTCTTTTCATTAATGACAAGCTCATTAATCAATATATTAATTTTATATATATATATATGGATTCCTTAGGTTAAAATAGGTTAAAAACAGAGAGAGAGAGAGAGAGAGAGAGAGAGATTAACGTTCAATCGACACAATCTAGGTCATTTCGGGACTAACGTATGGTTCAATTTTATTTGAATAATTCGCTTGCGCGTAGGGGTCTTTGGTAGTGGGAAAAACAGAGGACCCACGGAAGACCCACGAGGATGTACTTATGAAACAACGCGCTCGCGCTAACCATTCGGCCATCCAATCCACCAGGTTAAAAACAACCGCCATTACAGATGCATTATGTAAGATTTAGATAAAGAGCTGACATTTCTCTCTATAAAAGATAATGAAATGGGAATATCTACACAGCTAGACAGCTGTCCTTGTCAGACCCGTACGTAACTAACCTACGAAAATTAAATGGTAGCTGGCTAAACTTCTCCGCAGGTAGCGTGTTTCTGATGTTCAGAATGTGTCAGACCCTCCGTCCTGAAAATAACTGACACGGGAAACCACCCCGGAAAATCCCGACCCGATGAACATTCTCGGCCAACACCGGGATCGAACCCACGACCTCCAGACTATCGAGCTAGGGTCTTACTTACTGAGCCACCACGGCACCCTGGATTTAAAATCCTTTTTTTATTCGCGAATCCGGATAAAATATTGAAATATTTTAATCTGATAAATCAATGACGATTTTGTTTCATTTTTTTTTTTTTTTGCAACGATTTGTTATGTAATTTTTTCTCTATTTTCTGCGATTCTTTATTTTCTGCATTGTTTTTTTTTCGTTTGTTTTTGCATTTGTCAAGAAACTTACTGTCTGTTCCATGTGACATATCTGGATTTTTCACACCCTTTGATTTATTCCCCTGGTCTTAATAAACAAGAAGGCAGATAAAATCCATTATTCTCTTGTAATTTTCACATATTTCGACATATCACTTTCTCAGAACATAAACGTTACGACTACGCCTGCGTTAAATGGAACACTTGCATATGGCATTAGGGTACACAGGTACTTCAAAAATAGGGTGCATTCGGTTAGAAATGTCTAGTGAAGGAGAGTTCGCTGGTTTGTTTCGCGAAATAATACCTAGTCGGGTAATATTAATTTTGTTCGGGTTAATATGTTGGTTTTTTTTTTTCGGTTTCCACCTTGCAGGAAAATGCTTTTTGGATCACTTGGCGCGACTTAAAGATTAAAGCTATTTTGAAACATCGGCACATGTCAGAACCATGCGAACTCTCCGTAATAAGTAATTTGGTGTAAAAGATTAAGTCTTATATAAATTTGAATAAATGTATCGGGTAAAATGATTCAGAAATTTGTTTTTTTTTCGACTTTGTAGCTCTGTTTGAGAGGAAAATTTTAGATTGAAACTTCGTGATAACATGTATGTACTGATCAACTGTCAATACATATCAAACACAAATTTACTTAAATTATCTTCCGTCCTAGATCTAGTAGTTAGCGTATGAACTGAGTAATAAATCATCCGATTGACCCAGAATTAACGGTATTCATAGAAAACGTGCATGTTTTGGTAGCGAAAATATAGCTGCCCTTGTAAATAAGCAGAGCAAGAGGGAAGCCATTTTTCGAATTTTGTTTTTCTGCAATTAGGATCTTATGGCAGAAACATAACAATTTCAAACGCATATATTCACAGTAGTAGTCGTAGTATCATCTTGAAAATGTTAAATGTATTCTGTTTTTTTTTTCTATATTCCAGGGAGTGAATTGTTGTGCTGAAGATTTGATATCGATGCATTACGTTAAACCTGTGACGATGTATGTCTATGATATGTTGTTACACCGTGTCAAAGTCGACAGAAATGTATAAAGGACCTGGTAGAACTCCCCGGTTGTACGTGACAAGGAGTAGGGTCGCCTGTCCAACCTCGTGGGTTTTCTCCGGGTACTCCGGGTTCCTCCCACTGCTAAAGACCCCTACGCGCAAGCGAATTATTGAAATAAAATTAAATCATATATTAGTCCCGAAATAACCTATTTTGTGTCGAGTGGACATTAACACCTCTCTCTCTCTCTCTCTCTCTCTCTCCCACTCTCTCTATCTCCTAGTAAAACTATCCTTGAAACTATCTAATACGAGATAACCAATCTGATTAAAACACAGATCCTATTTCGTTTCGTTTTTTATAGTTCAAAATTTCGTTTTACTTGTCTTTGCTACATTAGGATCTGGGAGAGTTGTTATATAACTCCTGATCTGAATGATGTGAGTTGCAGGGAACTTTGGGTAAACCACTTCAAACGTCAACGCTGATTGATTAATCAATGTCTGACGTCATAAGGTCAAAAGCCACTCGTGTGACACCTGACGCGACCTTCCACTATAACTTGTCAGATCTTCATGTAGCGTAGCCCATCGAACGTATTAAAACGAAACGAAATATAGATATGTGTTGTAATCAGATTGCGAGAAAACTAAATATACGCGGAGACTAGCATGAGCGACATCAGGGGCGCCCCGCAAAAAACAAAACCACCAAAAAACAAACAAAAAACCGCCGAAAAACAACACAACCCATGGAACATCTTTAACTATAGTTACAGTGCAGTAACCAATAATATGTATAATTAAGGCACAAATATCTATATTACCAGATAAAATAAATCGTTTACATTGTAAGTATCATAAGTACACTGTTAGAAATAAATGTTAATTTACCATAAGAATGTGGTAAAGTATTTACGTAGTTGTATGTTATTTTACATATGTATGTTTTATTACACCAAAATAGAAGTGAGAGTACAAATAGTCGTAAAAACCTCATATTATACAGGTGATTTTACCCTGAAATAATTCATTTTACAAACGTAACGTCAAAATACAGTAATGTTCAGTGTATTCCAACTATAGTAAGATGTACCGTAGCCCAAATTGGTTGTCGTAAAAAGTTGAAATCACAGAAATGTTTTATTCAATAGTAATAAAATCAAAAATTGAAATATTTTTGTTAACATTTCTCAACACAAAACCAATTAACAGTGATTGTTGAAGTCCACAAACAAATAGCAAAAGATGTTACGACAACCATCAGATACACTGTCAGAAATTTATGTAAAATTACAGTAGTACAAGTGGTTTTTGTACCTCAATTGTCGGTATATTTTACAACATATACTACTTTTACCAAGTCTGATGTATTTTTACCGAGCTTCGTGTATGTTTATCGTCTTTCATGTGTTTTTGACAATAAATGTAAATTAACATATATGTCCTTCTACAGTAAAATGTTAAATAACTAATGGTGTCATTTTACGTATGATTTAGGGGCAACTTTTGCTGCCCGTAATTTTAGGGTAAAATAACCAAAATATTTTTAACAGTGTATACGGAGAATCACAGGTACCCATCGGTATTTAATAATAATAATATGCAATCATATTGGTTAAAGATACATTATGTAATATTTACATTCTTGTTATAACGGTACGAAAATAGATAATGCAAAATGAATAAATTTAACATTTCATTGAAATTACTCTATTCCGAGCGACGATATTAGCCTTTCATGGTTTAAAAATATGTGCATTAATTGCTAGGCTCAGCCCCTCCACTTTTAAATTAAATCAAAATATAACTGAACCGTTCTAATGTACTTAATATCGAACCCATCCGATGACATCGAGAGTTGATTATGGTCTTGTCATATTAATAAATGTCTAATTAATAACTTAGATAATATTTCAAACCTAAAAAAAAGAACTGCAATAGGCAGATTTAGCTCTTGCATAATGTATGGATTAGAATAGTTCTGCTCTGAACGTAGGTCTCATGACACTCGCCCGGTACGTTCAGAAACCGCCCTAGAGAATCTTTGTTGAAAATTTCGACCCCAGTAAATTTTACTGGATAGCCTTTTACTGCTAAACGGCCGTGTGTTAGTCCCTGTGAACGCCTGTTCAATGTAAAAGAACATTTCAGTGAGAATATAAGAACATGCTTACCTCGCTAGAGTCAGTATGAGCGACACAACAAGCTGTTAAAAATACGTCCCCTTCTGCTAAACGGCTTGGCAGAAGCCATTGAAATCTAAATATAGGGCAACGCATGTATTGCTTTTTCGCCTCCATGACACTTTAAATATAGGTTCCACGCCCATATGTAGCAACGTCGGCGATACAAGACGAAACGAAATTTAGGTGAAATTAAATGGGGCTTAACGTCCTACTGTTCTGCTCCTACTTGGCTATTCAAGACGGGCATACACCGTACAAATGTGCTATGGGGGAAATTTAGCCCGGGCAGCGGCACTATGGCCTACTCGTATATCGAATTGCAACTGCCAAGAGGTCTTTTACGTGCACGGGTCCTAAGTTTTTTGTCCCATCCGAACGACTAGACTACTCTTATATCGAATTGCAACTGCCAAGGGGTCTTTTACGTGCACGGGTCCTAAGTTTTCTGTCCCATCCGTACGACTAGACAGCTGTCCTTGTCATGCCCTCGATCCTGCACCACTGACAAGGGGAATCCACGCTGGAAAATCACGATGAACTTTCTCGGCCAATACAGGGATCGAATACGCGACCTCCAGGCTAGCGAGCCAGCGTTTTACCCACGTAGCCACCGTGGCTCCATGTTCCTGAAATTTTGCGCTCGTTGTGTTTACACGTGATCAATTAGCATTGTCCAATCAGAGGTCGTCGCACATAACACACTGTAAACAAATATGGCGGCCTCCAAAGAAACTCTTTGTTGATCAGGTATGATTTCCAGCAACCTTGACATTGATCGAACCTTGAACTTTGCAACTCGATTGTCACATGTAGACATTTTAGCTATAAGCGCGAGACTTGATAATCGTAACGATATTTTTAACGAAGGAATCTGATAGGATCACAAGCTGGGCTTGTACCCAATCAAAAATAGTGCCAAAATATGCGGGGTATTACGTGAAGGGCTTGATAAGATGTACGTAGTTAAGGCGAGATTCAGCCTTCTATTGAAGATGCCGTGGCTCCTGAAATTTAGGTAAAAAAATTGGAATCTTTGAAACAATATTAGAATCTTCAGTCATGTGTTGCTTTGTCTGACTTTTAATACTAAAACAGAATAAAACAAACATTCCAGATGCTTAATGAGGGTTAAAATATTTTACTTTCATATTCAGTATTTATTGTGGAAATTGGTAGTTACTGATCATTTTTTAAAAACACACGCCTTGAATCTTTCATTGTCCTTTCTACTTTTAGTTTTTGAAAAAGAAAAAACATTAATAACAAGTTTCTTTTTTTTCAAAAGGAGGAAAAACATTTATTAAACTTTGAAACAAAACTTTCCCAATTTAAAATGACAAATATCCATTAAAAGCAAACACCAAAGAATAAAAAGATTCTCAACTATACACGCACATCACACTTACATCTATACAAAGCTGTTTTTTTTTTAAATTTAAATAAATGAAATAAATGAATAAATTAAGGGGCCAATCTCTATTGTATTTTGGAGAATAAAACTGCTTTATTTTGTTTGAAAATCCCACTAAATCCTCTAACTTAGGACCGAGCAACGAACTCAATGAATGTAGGCCGTTTCGGAAATTGGACATTTCGGACTAGGGCATTTCGTGCTAGACGTTTCGGTCACTTTATTTTTGAGAAATAGGACGTTTCGGCCAGATTTATTTGTTTTCTCCTACAGATCTTTTCTTTGCTGTGTATTTTTTTCCGTTTTTTTTGTTGTTTTTTTTTTTTTTTTTTTTTACTGCTACAAATATATCTTATTTAAAATAAGTTTGAACTCGTTGTCATCTTTGTACATGTTTGCAAGTCCTAGTGACTGAGTGTGTCTCCAAGGTAATTGAGTAAGTTGATAAAAACAGTACTGAATCTGTACTTGTGGACCATACACTGCATGAAGAGCAAGATCTACAGAGCATTCAAAGTCTATTTTAACAACCATGCTTCTCTAACAAAAGAAACATTAATTCATAAGTTGTCCAAGATTTTTACACTAATGGAACAAAAACTCCCGATACACTACCCTTGATGACATAAAACTGCATAAAACTACTTAGTGCCATTGTGTAGTTATCGTCAATGCACCAAGCATCGCAATCTGCAAGTTTCTTGACGTGGTGTTCTATTTAAATGCTGTAAAAACATTTTTGTAAAATTGGCCGAAACGTCGGTTTGCCAAAACCTCGGTTGGCCGAAATGTCCACAGCTCGAAACGTCCTAGGCCGAAATAACTTAGGCCGAAATGTTTTTTAGCCGAAATGTCCACTGGCCGAAAAGTCTACCCACAGAACTTGGCCGAGAAAGTTCATCTGGATTTTCCGACGTGGTTTCCACTTGTCAGTGGTGCAGGACGGGGGACCTGACAAGGACAGCTGTCTAGTCTTTCGGATGGGACAAAACACCGAGGTCCCGTGTATACATTGGCGTGCACGTAAATAATCCCTCAGCAGTTGAAATTCGATATAAGAGTAGGCCATAATCCCGCTGCCTGGACAAAATGGCGTATATTGCGTATGACCGCCTTCATTAACCCAGTCGGAGCAGAACTGTCGGCCATTAATCCCCATTTCCTTTCATATCACGTGAGGACGACACCACGCTACTTCACACAGGGGCTCTTTCTAACATTTAAAAAGAGTTCCAGGGTAAAGGGAGGTAATCAGGCTTTACCTGTATCCTAGAGACCGGGGACCTGTTTCACGAAATTTTAACTAAGATAAAATTCAAATTCTAGTAATTTGATTGGATAATATTAGATTGATTTTAGTGCTAAGCCAATCAAAATTGAAATACCTACTATAATTTGGATTTTATCTTTAGTTAAAATTTCGTGAAACAGGGCCCGGGATAGTAATTGTGTCGCGCTTTGAGCATAAACTTAGTTTGTGGATATAGCGCATTATAAATATGCACATTATTATTATTATTATAGCAAACGAGACAGGCCACGCCCTATTTAACTTATAATAGGATCCGAGTGACGACTATGTAAATAAAGAAGTAACTCGACTGTTGCGTGATTTATAATGTCATGTCGAGATAAGAAGTATTATACGAGGCGCTTGATCTGCAGTAAAGGGTATATAAATTGTAATCACGTTTATTATTATCCTCGAGTGAATCATAATTACAAGGGTTAAATATGAAAGGTTAAATAATGCCCAGGACCGAGGGAGTATTTAACATTAATACTGATATTATCCACTGCCTATAGGCTATATAATCACTGTTATCACCCAATAACACATTCTACAGGAGATAGCGCTAGTGTCATAACTTTCATAATCTACTCAATTTGATTGGTCAATGAAAAAAGAACTATTTTTTTTTTATTAATAAGGGACTATTTTGTGAATCCAGAAAAATGGTTGGAGAAAAGTTCTCAGTTACCATAACGAATTACAATACTCCCTATAAACATCCAAGAACTATAAACAGTGACACTGATTAGTTTGTTATTTTAATCAAGGAAACACCGCGTCAATATATATATCCCAATGCAGGGATCGAACACCTCAGATTCCAAAAGTTTCTTAAAGCACACTTATAATTTCGCTGTCGTGAGAAGAGAGGGCGGGTCATCTTCTCCCTTTGTCATAATAAAGTTAAAACAGGAGGTCCAACTGACTGATGTTTGGCGTCATCAGAGCGGATAGAAAAAAACCCGTGGGGAAAAAGAATCCGCTGGCTTTATGTGGAAAAGCGAAGTGCTCGCAATAAAAACCACATAGCTGGACCCGTAGATAATTTACATATTAAAAGTGTTGTTGTTAAAAATTAACTTAAAATTCAAGACTTCAAAGTTTAAAAGTTGTAAGCATTCCATTAATGACTTGAGATAGGCTTTATATATATATCATTAACAATTATCAATCAACTAATCATTTATCCAAGACAACTGGTAAATGTACTATAAATGTAGGTTGTTATTCATTATTGATCATTGCTTGATAAAGATACCTGTAAGAGTATTGAAACGTTGCATGTAATAAACCAAGAAGTATACCTCTACTTCTAAATGTCGTTTAAGGATATTAACAACTGGTAAGTATTACCCATTGACGTGATCCAGATTATCAGCCAGTTGATTAATTGATAGTACTTAGCCTCGTGATTGACACTCAATAATGGTTAATCCATGGATAAATATGATTAGAATTTTAAGATTTTTTTTTGATTTTTTTTTTGTGGGGGGGGGGGGGTGGCCTAGTGGTCTAGAGTGTCACGCTTTGACCTCTAGCTGGCCGGCCACTTCTGGCTTGCGGTTGTGGTTTCGATCCCTGGTGTAAGCGTATGTGGCTTGGAGATAGGGGCGCCCTCTCAACCTCGTGGGTTTACTCCGGTTTCCTCCCACAGGAAAGACCCCTGCGCGTGCGCTATGATAATGTAATAAACAAGAGACAACTTATCTGCGATATCACCTTCGGTGGAAGCGGACGTTGAACACTAAGAACAACAACATAAGATTTTTTCCCGCCAGTTCTCAGAAAGAATCGCCAGTATCGCCAAAATTAAATTTTAATCGCCACTCTCATATTTTTATCGCAAATTCCGACTTTGGCGACCGACAGTGTGAGGCCTGCATGGGACGAAAAACCGAGGTCTCCTGTATACGTTGGAGTGACGTGAACGAACCCCTGATAGCTGAAATTGGCAGACGAGCAGCCGGAACTGTCCGGAGCAAAGTTCCCCAATTTTTCACTGCATGGCGTATATCCATCTTTATTATCCCGGTCCGAGGAGGACAATTGGGCCTTAAACTCG